ACTTCTAATAAACTAGTGCGGACAAAGTTCAATGTCATCGTCTTGTGTGCAATCAAAGGTTGTTCGTCGATTAGCATTTCCTTTTGTATTAGAAAGTTGTTTTGAACCTGTTTATGTTTCGAGGATAGAAAGATCATTGAGGTTATCGAATTTGTGCTTCAATTTAGGTGGGTTTTTGTATTTTACTTTGTCACAACCGACTAATTGAACGTTCAATCCAAATCCTTTTAAGTAATGAGAAGTCGTGAAGTCGATGATTAACATAATATTAGATGTATTTATCATGTCAACTTTCATATCATTTTTCAGTTTGCCGAGTTAATGGTAGAATAAACTCATAAAGTGATTTGATAAAAAATAAAAGTAGGGGTGGACACAGGTCGGTTCGGTTCGGTTCGATTCGATTTTTTTCGGTTCCAGAAATTTTCGGGTATTTAGTAAATGGAACCGTCGGTTCCAAATATAATTTTGGAACCGTTCGGGTTCGGTTCGGTTCGGTTCGATTCTGTTCGGTTCCGTACTATAATTAAANTAATCAGTTGCTTGACTTTCCATACTAACTACTAAGAGACTATACAAGAAAAAATTGAAAAAAACACAACTAACAAACATAAATAAACTCTAAATTGTTCAACTAATAAGATTTAATAAGAAAAAAATTATTAATTTATTTAGAAAAAATAAAAGAAATTGATTTATCCAATATAAAAAAAAATTTAGTTCTTATTCGGTTCTTCGATTTTGGGTCTAGAACCAAGAATTGAACCAAACCATTCGGTTCTTGATTCGGATACCCGTTCGGGTATTTCATTTAAAAAAATTCGTTCGATTCGGTTCGGTTTCGGTTCGGTTCGGACATTTTGTCCAGCCCTAAATAAAAGTAAAAATTAAAGTTTTGTGATTGTAACGCGAAATTCAATGACAATTGAAATTAAAATACAAGCAGTTCTTGTTTGTTTCTATACGAGTTGACTACTCTTGAACATCGTAGTCGTGTATATATGATCAATATAGGAGAATGCCATATAACAAGAGGCCTCCGTTGGGAATCATTTTTAATAAATTAAAAGCTGCTTTTATTATCCAATCAAAATTAAAATTTTAATTTGAACTATATATTCAAAATTATTATTCATTAGTATCCACACACTTCGATCCACTCATTATGTTTGCGAGACCAAAATTTCTCGGTATTTGAGGGATTGTAGGAGGTGAAGTTTCTATTCCATTTTTCGAAGATGAATTTATTTTTGGTTTTTTAGTTTTGATTTTAAATTATTTATTCAGGACTTGTTTGTAATTTTTGAAAAATTTGGGACTATGCTGCAATTAGTTCTTTATCTTTTTTATTTAAGTAAGACAGTATATTTGTCATTTCACAAATTTTTTTATTGAGAAAATGAATGAAAATGAGGGTGTGTTTGAGTCATATTATTTTGAAAGAATGTATTTTGGCATAGTAAATTGATGAAGAATGTGTTATTAAAAAAGAAGGAAAAGTTATTGATGTGATGAGAAATATTATTTTATTGAAAAATGTGTGGTTGAAAATGAGTAGAAGAATGAGAATGAAAATTTTAATATGTACCAAACAGTGGCTAAATGGTATTAATGGTATGTTAAGTGTAACTTTTCGTTAAGAATATTNTTATTAAAAAAGAAGGAAAAGTTATTGATGTGATGAGAAATATTATTTTATTGAAAAATGTGTGATTGAAAATGAGTAGAAAAATGAGAATGAAAATTTTAATGTGACTCAAACAGGGGCTGATGTTTTTTCGCAATGAAACGTGAAAATATGGGTAGAAATACAAAAAATTAAAATGTATGAATCTTTTACACATTAAAGATCAAATATATGGACATTTTGTGCTAATAAACATTTTGTAAATCCCTCCAACGCAAAATGAAATCAATCATGCAATCCACATCCATAACTCCATTGCACTCTCTAATAACTAACCAAAAGCCAAGGACAACCCCGTCATTTTGCACAAACCATTAGCTCCATTTCCCCCTTCCATTATTGGCAGTTGGATTCCCATTATTGGCGTAAAATTTATTTTTGAATAAAAAAATGTGTAATTAAAAATGGAAAAAAAATATTTGAATTACGTGTGATATTATTTTATTAAAAAATGTGTAATTGAAAAAAAAAAATTATAGAAAAACCCTGCCATGTGGAATCCATGACAAGGAAATCCGACGTGTCATTTTTCTATTTGAACACGCCATAAACTTATCCACGTGAGCTTGACAGTACTCAATCCAAACCCAGCGTAAATCCCAAGGAACGATCCATGTATATAAACAGTGCTCTCTCAGTCTCTCAAAACCATTCATGGAGATACTGCAGAGAAGAGTACCGATGTTAAACCCTAATTCGCTCTCTCTAGCAATTGCTGTCTCTCTTCTTGTCGCCGTTTCATCTGCGGGAGTCATCTTCGAAGAGCGCTTCGAAGGTACTATAATTTTGTAATTAATTAAGATCATTTTAATTTGCTGATTTTGACTTCATTTTCTACAATTTCAATGAATTTTCTGTATTATCCTAATTTATGTTGCATTTTGGATATAAATTGAAGTTTGTCTGATCTTTTTGATTGAAGGATTGGATTTGAGGTCAAAATGTACGAATAAAAACGTTTATGGATAGATCTGTGTTAATTTTCATGAAACCGCTCGTTATATATTTGCCTGATTATGCAAATGCTGAATTTATATACGAAGTGTTCGACCTATTCAATGTGTGAACGTCTGTTTGACTAAATATTATGGAAAACGTGTTAATATTTTTATATTGAAAGATTACTGTGGACTTTGTCTAGATTTCAGTACTTAATCTTTATTGATCTGTTTCAGTAAACGTTAAATGTATGTAATACTCAGGTAGTCAGAATTGATGGTTTAGTGCTAGAGTTCAATACGATCCTTTATAACTTCTATTTGCCATGACAAGTTTTTTGCTGCATTTAGTCTGCGTGTATGAATGTATTGGTGAATGCATATTAAGCTAGACAATGTTGGGGTTGGAGGTGTGGTCAGAGGCGGCAAACTTCGTTTAGGTGTTACTCAGTGTGAAAGGTTGAGCTTTTTGTGTCAAAAAAGTCACATTTCCCTGTTTGCACATTTCCCTGATTGTAACAAAGTGCTTCATGCTTTCTTTAATATGTAGAAAAAAATGAATTTTGTTACGTTCTGCTGTTTTTATGAAATAAAAAGGTTTAATTATTGTATTCATTATTTATCTTACTGATGATATGTTTGCTGTATGAATTCTAAAGATGGATGGGAGAATCGATGGGTCAAATCCGACTGGAAGAAAGATGAGAATATGGCTGGAGAGTGGAATTACACCTCTGGCAAATGGAATGGAGACCCAAATGATAAAGGTATAAATGCCGACATGTGACATGCCTCTGCAACGTACAAGCATGTACACGTAACATTTGAACTGTATTAATTTCA